CTCTGACTGCTCAAGCTCTTTCAGGAGCAAACAAATCTAGACTTGAAACAGCCCAGTAGCATCACCCACCTTGGGCATGCAGACGACTAAATGTCCCGTTGTCTGAGATCTTTGAGCTGAGCTGCTATCAGGTTTAACTTCTGCAGGAAGTACAAGCTGGAAGGGCTGAGAATAAATGGGAGATGGGATCTAGAGTGAGCACATACCATATGAGAGGGTTCATTCAGGACATATGTCCATTAGAAACTCAAGATCAAGCATTAAGTTTTAAAATACGCTTTAACTTCTTACAGGGAAAATATCACATGTGGGTTATGTGCTACATGTATGAACTATTTTACCTAGGGTCTACAGAGTGGTATCAATCACCAACAGTGAAACACACACAGGCCTGTTTACATTAACACAGCTAAAAAGCTATATACAGGTCAAACTTCTTGTCATACAGCATCAACTTATTTCCATTTCAAAAGTCTTCAAACTACCTTATAGAAATACTCAGTATCAGCAAACATCATCACAATAATGCTATTTCAAAAGTGAAAAATTACAGTGGCTATCAAAGAAATCATTGACAATTTAGAATGGTACACTATTTCACTTCAAGCAGAATCTACTACATAAATGATCACTTCATCAGCTTTGAAAAGAGAAAGGTGCTAACTCGAGAGATATACGTACTAAAATATTAATTTTATCAAGCTACATAGCAGCCATTCCCCTGGTAGAGTTTTTACCTGGTAGTAAAAACTCAATGCCTAAAAAAGAGCTCATTATTTGAGTCCTTTTTTCTATTTTAAGAATAATTTTTTTAAAAATGTGAGGCAACCTGATGCTGTTAGGTGCCGTCAAGTCATTTCTGACTCATAGCGACTGTATGTACAACAGAACAAAACACAGCCCGGTCCTGTGTCAGCCTCACAACCACTGCCATGAGGCTACTTAGTTTAGTTCAAGCCCTAGCGTTTGAGATTTTAAGAGGCTACAGAAAGGCACTTACCTTCCCTTTGACCATGACTCGCACATAAGTTGGCTGTACATCAACACTGATTAAAGAGGTATCCATATACCTGCAGAATAAACATACCAAAATCTTACCATTCTCACAAACACTAAGTTCACAGAAGTGCTCATACAAATGCACCCTTCCTGGACCATTCTAATGAAGTGGGTTTAAAATGGCTACACTAAACAGGTCTTATAAAATTTCTTTGCAGTTAATCCCCAGACCAAAGGAAATTCTTATCAGCAATTTCATTTTTAGACCCATGAGGACGTTTGGCATTGATTGCCCCTAACCCAAAAATATCTAAGGTCTGAAACACTAGAGTTAGCAAAAACCAGCCTGCCACTTTCCTCCCTCATGCATATTTTATTTTAAGCCCCTAGACTTGAACAAGCAGGAATGCGGAATCCACTGCGCACGGGCCTGCGCCAGCTCCTGCTTCCTGAGCAGCTTCAGCCCCAGCAGCTGTTCAGCAGCCGCTCTGCTCGCTTCCCAAAGGCACCTCCTGCTGAATAAGCAAAGCCTCCCCTTCACTGGGCTGTGACCCTGCATCAGGTGGGCGTGATTCCCCTTGGCTCAGGAGCCCATAAGGAGCCCTGGTGGCACAGTGGTTAAGAGCTGCTGCTAACCACAAGGTCAATGGTCAAACCCACCAGCCATTCTGGGGGAGAAGGAGGTGGAAGTCTGGTTGCATAAAGATAACTGCCTTGGAAACCCTATGGGACAGTTCTACTCTTTCCTCCCCGGTCACTATGAGTCAGAATCCACTCAACAGCATTTTTTTTTTTTTTCATGATCCAATGTAGGATTCAGACTCCACATTACTCATTAAAGGAAGTGCAGCCAAAATATCATTACCGCACATTTTAAATGCTGACAGTTAACATTAGCAAATGCAGCAATGGTTCACCAATCACAAACATTAAGGCAGGTAGGACAACAGAGGGGTGACAGCACAGGCCACAGAGTCACACAGACTCAAGGTCAGGAACTGACTCCACCCCTTCTCACTGGATTCCCTTGGCCCATGGTCCTTACCTTCTCTAAGCCTGTTTCCTCATCTGTAAAATGAGGATATGAATAGTGCCCACCACCTGAAGAACAAAGGAGATGGTCCAGGCATAATGCCTAGGACACAGGTAATGTTGCTATCACTGTCTTTTATCACAGTCCCCGCATGGGGCAAAGGGGTAACACCCTCAGTTGCTAAAACAAAATGTTGGTGGTTCAAGTCAACCCACAGGTGCTCTGTAAGAAAGCTCAGCCAGCCTATGTGACTATAAGACCAGAAGAACTAGACGGTGCCCGGCTACCACTGTCAACCACCCAGAGGGGGATCTCTGTAGGCGAGAGAGGGAGAACAATGTGGAACAAAACTCAAAATCATTTGGAGAAGAAAAAAAG